AAGTGGTTGTGGTAAAATAAAATTAGATCTGTTCAATACTGTTCTGAATTTTCTCAATACTCTTCTGAATAATGCTACAATATAATCTGCAAAATAATAACTTTAGATCAACATGGTACATGATGGATTCGATTCACCAACAAATGCGTGCTCGACAAAAGCGCGCCGACAAAACCGCGCCCACAAAAGCTTGGTTAGGGTTATTACGTTGTTTTCGCATTGTTTGTTGATGGCGCGCTTCTGTGGGCGCGATTTTGACCTCGCGGTTTTCTCGACGCGGTTTTGTCGGCGCGCTTTTGTCGAGCACGCATTTGTTGGTGAATCGAATCCATCATGTACCATGTTGATCTAAAGTTATTATTTTGCAGATTATATTGTAGCATTATTCAGAAGAGTATTGAGAAAATTCAGAACAGTATTGAACTGATCTAATTTTATTTTACCACAACCACTTACAATAATATCATTTGTGTTTTTGAAAGGGACACAGGAACTACGCTTAGTCAATGGACGGAACAGATGTGCCGGAAGATTAGAGGTTTATTTTGAAGGAATTTGGGGGACTGTTTGTGATGACTACTTTAATATGACCAATGCACATATAGTGTGTAAACAACTTGCATGTGGCAATGCAACTAAGGTGGTAGGATGGGCATACTTTGGCGAAGGATCAGGGTCCATCAGCCTGGATGATGTAAGATGCACAGGAAGTGAGGCTGCCATCTGGGATTGTGTTCACCGTGGGTGGTTCAATCATGACTGTGCACACAATGAGGATGTCGGTGTCGTTTGCTCAGGTATACATCTGTCTGTATATTTATATATGATGTAGATCTTTAAAAATGAAGCCAAGTCAGATATCTCAACTAAAAAGTTACTAAAGGATGACTAAAAGTAGAACATTTAGTCAGTGTACAAACTAACATCATTTGGTCAAGTAATCTGAATCAGATAGTACCAAGTCAAAAGTTGAAGAAACAGAAACATATATAGAGTTTATCTGAAATGCAGAACTAATGAAATTAGTGAACTATTATTCTTATTAGCTAAGAAAACTGTGTTCTATAAGAAAAGGTAACTGCTTCTTCAGATTAAACTCAGCTCCTTGAATAACTAAATTAACATATTGGCCTAATGAAGGACTTTATTGTTGCCTTCTTTGGTCTAACCTAAAATTCTGTAGCCTTGCATGCAAATATTAAATAAGTCAAACCCTGTTTAGTTTTATTGAGATCAACCATGTGAGTTAATTGCTTGTCTCTGTTTGATCAATGCCTATTAAGTAACAGATATGCAATTGTTTCCTAAACTGACAAGTCAAGAAACATTAGCCATCTACTGTAATNATAAAATTATATATATAGATATATAATCATATATATATATATATAATTTCAGATTGGCAAATGAAGGAATCATTCAACTCTCTTCTTTCCTCACATTGAGCAAAACATTGTACAAGTTTATCTTTGCTCTGAAAGAATTAGGGGGATTGCCAAAGCAGCATTGAGGAAACCACGACCAAGGAACCTGGAGATGGCAGAAGTTTCTAGCCATGGGATTCCAATCACCCACAAATCTGGAGCAACATTCTTCTTACATCTCCTCAGGAGTAGCTGAACTGAATGTTCTTTGGTTCAGTTTACAAAAGTCTCTGGAAGCAGCCGAGCATTGTAAGATCACACAGGGATGACCATCAACCTCATGAAACAGGCCTGAATTTTTACAGGCTGATACTTACCTGAGAAAGACGTTGCTTGTCGTTTTGATGCTTTTTTTTTTGTAGCAGCTATTTATTTAGAAAACATTTGTCCTCTTTTTTAATGTGTAATTTTCTAAATTATAATGTCCATATATTCCAGAGCCCGTAAAAAGGACACTCCAGTAATATTTGTAGTTGCAATGTAATTTAATGAACAGCTACAGATATACTGTATTCTGTGTGATATATTAACACATATGAAAATGAACCAATCTCAGCATCGAAGACAAAAATTTGGGGAATTGTCCCAGCAACCACAGTGATTAAGAGTTAATACCCATTCCCTTTTGTTTCCATAATTTCTTAATTTTAATAGCTCACACAAAATTAGTATCATATAGAGGTTGTCCTTGACCTAATTGGTTGTTGGACCAGAATTTCTGATGCTAGGCAAGGCAGTTAAGTGAGTCATGTCCAATTTTATAACCTTTTTACCACAGTTAAGTAAATTATTACAGTTAAATGAATCAGTCATTAAGAAATCCAGCTTTCCCCACTGTCGGAAACTGGCTGGGAAGATCACAAATAGTTATTACATGGCCTAGGGACTACATGCTGGTTGCCAACCACGTGAATTTTGATTACATGACCATGGGGATGCTGTGATAGTTGTATGTGCGAGAAATACGTAGTTGTCACTTTTTTCAGTGCCTTTGTAACTTTGCAGTCACTAAACCAATGATTAAAAGTTGAAGATACCTGTACTTAAAATTCTGAAAGTACTTTTTATACACTGGTGATGCTCAGAAAGCATGAAGGATAAAGAATATGGTTGAAATACTAAGAGAAAGTTGGCACCAGTCACCCTTACTTTTAATCTTAGGCCTAACTCTGGAATACTTCTTTCTTTTCCACACCCTCTTTTTGTTACACTGTGTGGGCTGAAGAGTTCTGGACCATCAAAATCTTACCTATTATTTTCTTTGTTCTTAAAAAAAAATGATGAGCTATGGAATTTTATTTTTTCCTTATGCATTAACATTAATATGCTACGTTTGTATTTAAATGTATTTATCAGAAATAAGGCAATTTAAAATTTTCTTTAAAATATTATGATATATGATAAAGGTACGTAATTGTACGTTTCTTTAGGCAAGTATGTTTTTTAATAAGAATAAACTTTATTGGGACAATTGCGCATAGGTAGTTCTCAATTACTAACGGAAAAAAACCCCTAACAACTTCATTGCAAAAATGCAATTGTTCAATGGATCATCACATGACCATGACTTGTAACTTTCTGCCACCTTCTCCGTTGATTCTGTTGTTGAAAAGTGGCTGTGAAGCTCACACACGGTGATCACCTAACGTCAGGATGCTGCAACCATTGTAAATGCCTGCTGGTTGTCAAGCGTCCAAATTGTGTTCACGTGACTGTTGGCATCAGTGGTGGGTTTCAAAAATTGTTCGAACCTACTCTGTGGGTGTGGCCTTCTTTGTGGGAGTGGCTTGCTGCCCATGTGACCAGATGGGTGTGGCTTGCCGCCCATGTGACCGGATATGAAGATGCCGACGACACTTGTCAGAACCACCTTAAATTACCTCACACACAGCACTGGCATGCATAAGAATATGATGTAAACTTGTTTTTTAAAAGGCATCTTTGGTTTGCGTTAAAACAACTTCAACACACGCAATGTTCTGATTGCACCACAAACGCAGTAGTCATCCTTACCTTTCACAGAGGCACTGAGTTTTATAAATATTATCATGATAATGTAGAATAATCATATCCAAGGACCAGTGGTGGGTTTCAAAAAATTTTGGAACCTCTTCTGTAGGTGTGGCCTGCTTTCCGGGTCCACTGGTGGAACCTCTTCTAACCAGTTCGGTAGACTTGACGAACCGGTTCTACCGAATAGGTGCGAATTGGTAGGAACCCACCTCTGGTTGGCATCCTACAATAACCACAATTTCATGGACTTATACATTAATAATGAAGCCTGAGAAAAATGTAGTTCATGACCCTTGAAAATCTAGCCAAGTCTAGAGTAGTATTTCATTAACTGAAATCTGAAAGATTTATTCACTCACGCATACACGTTTTGCAACATATATCTTGCAACTTTGCTTTAATATTTCCAAAATAATTTCAATACACTGCTGATATAGTTCATTAATTTTCAATGTGATCGTTGTAGCCACAAAGTTACACTGTATAAAAATTGCTACCAAAATTTTAAAAGAAAACCTTGTGGAGATTTACTCTCAAGGAAATTGTCCTGAAATAACATCAGGATTGGCTCACCTCAATCCAGATTCAAAGACAATCTCTCTCCGATCATTAAAAGGGCTAGCTATCTCTCATGATCTTTTTATAAATGTCTTAGTATGATTTGGTTAGACGCTCTAATACATGAAATACTGGATCAAATGGAATTTTGCTTTGATTATAAAACAGAATTGTGATAGAATGAAAATAAAAAGATCACAATGACAGATGAAGAATGCTACATTACACCATGGACATACCTGCCTTGAAAATTTATTAAAAATCAAAGAATACAAAACTTCACATAAAAATATGTATTTTTAGCTTCCCACATTGTTATTACACACAAAAATGAACATGATATTTTAGCAGTCATCCACAGAGGCATAAAAGGTAACCAGCGTGATAGCCATTGCAATTTATGGTTAATCGTGACTGAACGGGACATGATATCTGCTTAAGTTTATCCTGCTTTTAAATGGAACTATTTAGAACATCAATATTTCAATAATGTAGATTCATAGTCAATATTGCTAGTATGTAGAATGATTATAGGTTTATAATCAGCCCTTGAATGGTTTATCCAAGTTTAGATCCCTTCCTATACCAAATTCTACTACGAGCCTTTTATTATTGAAAAATAATCAAAATAAAAACACTGATTCCACTATCAAGCAGAGCTGAAGTTTTGGCAATTCGCAGTCTGTTTACTCTTTATTTGTTATCCAATTGCTGTTCACTTGACATATTAACAATCAGAGGTTGATAATATCAAATGTTGCTTTGGAGAAGGAAGGAATTTTTTGGGGGGAGGCTTTTTTTAAAAGGAGGGTAGCATAATTAAGGGGCTTCAGTATGGAGTTGAGGGACATAAAAACCCGTGTACATCTAGAACATAGTTTTAAGGTTCAAGAGTTATTTCCAGAGAAAATAATATATAATCTTTGATAAGGAGTATGACAGGGCAACTTGCAGGTAGAGATAAACAATCATAGAGTACATTTTCAGTAACTTTCACGTTTATATTTCCCTTAAATTTGCAAACTTTATATATCTTTCCATACAGATGCTGGCTAGTATAGTAAACCTTGTATTTTATGCCTGTCTTTCTGATTATCTTACAATCAATTTAAAAGATAACACTAGATCAAGATGAATTGTAGTCAAAATATGTGCTACTCTGCTTTGGAATGTCGCAATCTTTTCTGTCATGATATTCAAAGGCCTTGCATTTGTTTTGAAAAAAAAATCTCTACATCAGCTTCTGACCATTCTGTGCCAAATATTCGCTGCTTAAGAAATTCATTTCCATGTACAATTTAAGATGTCAAGACAGAATTTCTTCAAGCAGAATTACTAAACACAGTACTTTCCAAATTTTAAGAACTTATATTTCAATAAAAGGGGGGGAAAGCATAAAAAGATGGAGTAAGTGATAGTAAAAAATATGGTACTTTTAAAATGCAGGGTAGGCTTTATACACAATTTGGGACTTTAGAATAAAGCAAATATGTTGCCATGATGATACACACTTGCATAGTATATCTGTATGAATCTTTAAATCAGTTGCCTGCCATACAGATAATCCCAATACCACTGGGTGGGCTGTGTCTTTACAAACAAGAGACTTAACACATCAGAATGCATAGAGAAGCCAGAAGATACATTTTAGGTAGTTGCTCTCAACAGAACTAATGCAGGCTGCTAATCAGATTCCTGAATGGAATCACTACACATTCCTTTCTCCACATTCTTCAAGTTGGATGCTTTGTTTAACAATGGCTCAAGCAATCAGAAGGTAAATAAAATTGATGAACTGGCATTTGCAATTTGCAGTTAAGGGTCAGGGAGATATATAAACACACACACCACACGCACACACATTACATACACACACACATATATCCCTGACTCTTTACTAAATGTGTGTGTGTGCGCGTGCACGCACACACACACAAACATATCCCAAACTTGGATTTGTAATAGTAATTTTTGTCCAGCTGTAGAAAATGTATAGAAGATTCAAATTTTTGTACATCATCCCCACTAAAATAAACATGACATCTGTAAGATCGTTAGATGGCATTTTATCTCATAAGATTGAATTTAGCATTACATGCCAGACTAGTAAGGTAACTAGTCAAAATGCCTTTTAACTCAATCATTATTATAAATACTTAAGCCAGACCAACAGTTCTACAAATCAGGAAGCTTCCAATATTATTAGCTTGATGTGTTAAAATTGATTGCTTAGCTAATCCACCAGAAGCATGAACCCAACTTAGAAAATGCAATTTGGGAAAGGATCTGTAAAAAAAGAAAGAAAAATTTTCTCTCTCTCACACACACAGACATAAACAGATGTGTGTGCATATGTGCACACCCTCAGTTTCATAAATATTTTCATGATTAAAACATTCCAAGTTATTGCACGTTATGTTTGATGTGAGTAAGGCAACAAAACCATTTTTAGAAGGAATGGGAAGGTGGTAACAATGCCACAAATAAAGTTTTGTAATGGAAAATAACATTCAAGCAACCCATTATCCTTCCAAGAAAACAAAACAATTATGAACAAATGCAGCTACAGCGAAGTGCCATAGCATTTATGGTCCTCCCAATAATCTTACCAGAGCTGTTTCAGCACTGTAATAATCATGGATAGGCAGAAGACAAACTTCCACAGTTAATAAGGCTTCACGATAAGCACAATTATTTCTTTTAAGATGGACTCCACCACCGCACACGAAACATGCAAACATTGGATGCAGATATTTGGCAACATCCACAGACAGATGTACTCAGTGCTGGTCTCAAATCCTCCCAGAGCAGTATCACACACACTGCATTAGTCTAAAGAGGACTCTGAAGTTGGCCATTATCTGCTAAGGCTAACAGGCAAACTGTCCCTGTACTTCTTTCTCCTCCAAATATTACGGTTGTATTGGTGATGACCTCTGTTGCTAACTGGCTGCCTTACAGCTCCATTACTGGCAGAATTGTATCCACTGCCTTGATTATGAGCTCCTTTGACAGTAAACTTCACTCCATTGTGCTGCTGAAAACAAAAGAAATATTTAATATTACTGCCAACTATTTAATATTATTGCCAATGTTTCATTAATGTTGTCTCATGAAGTCCTTAAATAATGAATTTATACTTATGAAAAAGCAGTACAGCATTCAGACATCTACAATCAAAATTTAAGGAAAGTTGCATTCAGAAAAATTAAAATAACACTAAATTACTTCAAAGAATTTCCATGAGAAGAGCCAATCAAAGAAGATATTAGGTCTGCTCTTTCTGAATGTTAAAGGATCGTTTCTCATCTCCTGTGCTGCAAAAGAGATTTTTAGGGGAGGAAATAGATGATACTAATTTACAAAATATTTCATTTTTCAACCATTCTGAGTTTTCTTAGCTTAATTGTATTTTTCTGGATATCTCAGAACTATGGCTTGGCAAATCTAACACTTTTGGAGAAATTTTCACTTGATCTAAAATCTGACAGGAATCCTGGTGATTCCTCCCAAGAAGGCTGTTGAACAGTAAGAGGTTTTTCCTCTCGTACCAACAATCTCCTGTTTTTGCTGCCAAAGCTGTTCCTCTGGCAGTGCTACTTCCTGGATTTAAATGGAAGCACTTAGGAATGACCCATGAGTTTTGGATGGTCAAAGACCTGTTTGAGGAGTCTTGAAGATTTCAGTTCCCTCTGGAAGCAATTGGAAGTCACTGGGGGAAATCGATCAGTTTCATTTCCTGGGTTTTTAACATTCACTTTTTCAATTTATTGTTTTATTTTGTTTTTTGCTGTTAAAAATTGACCAGTGAAGCAATGGATGCTGATTTATTTCAACCCCTTGCTGTACTCTGTTTCTCCCCTTTTCTTTCGCTTTAATTTATGTTACTCTGAATACTCTTTTTGTTCTTTGTATATTTGCCTTCATTTGCAACCTTTGTTCTCTGTGTAAGGAAGCATAGCATATTTCTGTATGGTGGAGCCCTTTCATTTGATTTACATTGATATTGGACTCTCACCACAGGGTTTTGTACTTTCTAAATTTACAAAATATTTGGAGTTTATCACTTTTGAATTTTCCTTTTAACCTTGGATTGAAATATTCAGTTTATATCATTCTTGTTTCCTTCTTGCTTCAGTGGTTTTTGTTCCCTGATCAAGTTATAGAGAGTAACTATGTATCAAGATGGCATTAAGTAACAAACATGGATATTTGATCCAGGATGAATTAGTTTTAACTTTTGGGACGATTTGAGATAGATAAGATGCTGTGTTAAACAGTAATTACAACAACAGTTTCTTTACAGAGATCTTTGAAACCTTAATCTTGTCTTTATTATTGTTGTTGTTATTGCTTGTTGTGAACTATTTTTTATTAATATAGTATACAAGACAGGTCAATAATTTGTGAATAGATTTATTAGCTTAAAAATTGGGGGAGGGACTGTTTCACAGGGGTTGGGAACCAATATTGTAGTAATGTATATCAGTATTCATTAAGGGGGATAACATGTTGATTTTTTTTTGATACACTTTCTTAGTGTTTTGATTGTTTTGCTTTTTTCTTTTTTAAAATATTGAGTTTTGAATTTTAACTTTCTTTTGAATAAAAAATAAAATCAGCTACGAATCTTGACATTTCCAGTAAAGTGGTAACTGTTTAAAATGCTTGTTAATTACCCTAGCTAACAAGACTGATTTTAAATGATTTTTCTTAGAATTGCTCATTTCCATCTATTTCAATCATTTTACAAATTGCTGTCTTTTTATCTAATCCAGTAGGATTTTTTTCTCTTCAGTAATGTTTTGGTTTATTATTTTCAAAATGCTTGCATGAGCAAATTAAACACAGAACGTTTCACATACCTGATTATTCGTGGCCATAATCAATGCTCTTGCAGGCACAGACTGATTTTTACCACTTGGCATAGTTAATGCTGGATGCATTCCAGCTGTAAGTGGAGATGGTGCTTGCAGGCTGAAGTGGTATATATTAGGAGTTGTGCAAGGTGGAGTATCAGAATCCTTAATGTTACATAAAAGGAGAAAATATGGGATTTCGTTTTATTTTATATATAAAGAAACTGTGATAACATATTTAAAGCAGCATGATTTTGCCCTGAACATGTTACAGAATAATCTCTCTAAAGGAGGATCCTTTGGGAAAAATAACTGTTTCTGACCTTACATTACTAGACGAAAAATAAGTTAAAGAACTGCCATTCGTTCCTTACACTAGCCAGCTGCTGTTCTCCTGATTAGGCAAAACTGCATAATATAAACTTTCATTACCAAGACTGAGCTAGCGAGAGAATTTAGACAGTATGTGTTACTTGCTACATTTCAGTCAGCGGCCATGATATAATTTGCGGAGAAGCCACAATTTATCTAGGCTTCTTTGTTTTCTGTGGTATCTATCTGTCTTTAAGGACCCACTATGTAATTATTTCCACACATGTGAATGTTTTTAAAAACTAAAAAACATTTTAGAGTAAAATTGTAAACATGAGCTTAAAATCATAAGCAGGAGACTAAAATAGAAATAATGAAAATAAGTTTTTTTAAAAATTAATATTATTCTCTTTCATTTTGAGAAATTCTTTAAAAACTTTACATTAAATAAGACAATGGTTTCAAATCAATTTTCTGATTATTTGCTTATTGTAAAGCATTGATTATATGTCGATATATAGATTATATATTACTTAACACAAATTTAGAAGAAGCTTAGCAGGAAGAGTGACCTCAAGCAAATATATACCGTATTTTTCAGAGCATAAAACACACTGGTGTATAAGACGCAGCAAAGTTTTGAAGAGGAAAAAAGTTTTTGGACTCTGCAAACCTCCCAAAAACGGCCCGTTTTTCATGAAAACAGGCCCGTTCCCCCCCCCCCCAAAGGCATGAATAGCTTTTAGGGAGATTGCAGAGTGCTCCGGAGGGGGGGGGGCAAAAACAATAAAAAAATGGGCTCATTTTTCGTTAAAAAAAGGGCATGGATAGCCTTTAGGAAGCTTATAGAGTGCTCCTGCGAGCTGGGGGAGGGGGGGGTAAAATTGAGCAAAAAACAGACCGTTTTTGCTCATTTCTGCCCTTCCCAGCCCCAGAAGCTCTCTAAAAGCTTCTTAGATGCTCTGCATGGCCATTTTGGTGAAAGGGGCGGGGGTTTGTGAGGCAAAAAAATGCTGTATTCATTGTATAAGACGTACCCAGATTTTCAGCCTCTTTTTTGAGGGAAAAAGGTGCGTCTTATACTCTGAAAAATACGGTGTATATGTGTGTGTATACATACATACATACATACATACATACATACATACCACACACACACATCAATAATATTACAGTACTCTTAGTAATAATTGCATTTGTGATCTTATAAAATAGCTTGTAATCTTATTCAGATATTAACTTTCATATGTATGTAAACAGCAGCTTAAATAGAAAAAAAAATAAAACTTACGACGTCACTTCCAGAAAGAGATGACACTGAAGAGGCAGATGAACCTGATGATAATTGTTGCATATCAGTAAATGATAAAGTCAATGGTTGGTTGTAAAGCAATTCGGCATCTCTATTCTGCGTTGCACTCTCTGAAGATATTGATTCTCTCTCTTTCAGCTGAACATCTGGGGGCACATATATGTTTATATGTCAATATATTTCCTTTTCACTTGCAACAAGTACAGCTGTGTTTTGAATGTTGTTAGTTTTACTGAACAAAGCATTACTGATTAAGTCAGATATTATATGAAAGATGTTTAAGCCTAACATGCAAATGAACTACAGTATGCATTTTATTAATTTCAACAAATTAAAATCAGGAAACTCAATATCCTGCCAGGCATTGATTCACATGTTTATATCAACAAATCGTAACAAAGCACTGGGGAAAATGTTGAGATAGGCTGACATAGCACTGAAATAAGGGATAAGAAAATAAAAAGTATGATAAAAATAATCTCTGGTTTATTTTTTGGGATCAATATATTTGCTTACCAAGTTCAGATGAAAAGTTAGCTTTGCTTCCCCATTTTTTTTTAATCCATGCTCTGTAGTCAATTACTTCTTCTGTCACTTTAATAATTCTACCTAAAGTACTAGAAGAAATGTTGATCAGGATAAGAAATCAACACACAACAGTGAAACTTTTTTTAAAAAAACAATCTGAACTTCACTGTAGCTAACTTAAGAACACAAAAATGTTTTTAAAAGATTTGCACACATTCAATGTCAATTTCAGTTTTTTCAACTGATATTAATTCTTCTTTCCAGGGTGCTGTATTACAAGATGGTAAGTATTATGCAGATCCAGAATTGAATACATATTATACTTCCTGTATGTGCCATGATGAGTGAATTCCTTGCTGACTTTTGTTAGCTAGCAAGACAGCTTTGCAAGAGGAAGTTCTACTTAATGCTGGATTCCAATCAAATAACCTTTCCAGAACAAAGGACTGATCGATGACATTATCCACATGACTCCACACAGCAGCTCCTCACAAGTAGACCATCATTTTTATAATTGGCTGTAAGTTGTGATTTACATCAAATTCAAACTTGCATAACAGCCTTTATGTACATATTTCTTGGCCCAGCCTTACATCTTAATCACATATAATTTTGGGATTATTTTATTATTTGCATATCGGAGAGATCAAGACCTCTTGGATTGGCAAGGTACTACTGCATTCTTCAGGTGAGTTCAGGATAAATTTCATTTATGGATACAAGAGAAATCTTGTTCAAGTTCTAAAGGATTTTTGCTTTGAAACACAAATGAGCAACAAACTACCTCTACAACTTTTTTTTTGAAGGGCATCAAAGAATATTTTTTAAAAATAAGGGAAGATTTACAAGATTGTCTTGTTTGACCAGGTTTAAAAGAAGAACATAGTTAATATATGTTTTCTCTTATTGGAATTTTTCTGATGAATGTATTAATACAGCATTATGATTTTGTTTTCTTTACATAAGAGGTGAACTATGAGGGAGAAGACAGATTATGTTTTATTTAGAGTTATGTTTTATTTAGAGACAGTGACAGCTATTAAAATTGTTTTACTTCATGAACTGAAGGAGAAAGTTACTTTTTTCTTTCTCTTTCTTTTTATTGTTTTTCAAACCTCTCCCTTTTTTGCTGTTTGTATCAACTTTTATTCTTTACACATATAATTCTTAATAAAATTATTTGGAAAAAATGAATATATTCTTCTTTGCAACATTCAAAGTTCAACCTCTGACCATACTTACAAATTCTGGAAGTGGAATGTGGAGTTTAAGTTCTCATGCATTTCCACTTTAATTTTATATTTTGAAGCTTAAATGTATATTTCTCTCTGGACCTCTGCTGGCCTGCCCACTTTTTAAACTGTAGCACCTGGCATGCCTTTCAAAGCCCATATGCAGTCCTGGCTTTTAGAAGGGTATATACCTTAATCTATACAATGAACATATTCTCAAATAGTTACCTTTCTGAATCTCTATTAGGATATGATTTTGCAAGTGGTGATACTGCATGGCTTAGAACGATGTAGGCATAGTCAAAAACCTGCTTTACTTGCATGGCACCATAACAACTTCTTCCGACATCATTGCCTGTAACAGTCAAATTTTAAAAAATCACACTCATTATCCAGTTGACTCCAAGTTACTTTCACCGTGTAATGCTTAAAATGCTTAAAACTCTTGGAATTGGCAAGATATCTCAAGGAGAGATGCATTCTCTATAGACTTGCATATGTACAAATTGGTACCCAATTAACCTATTGTTTGTCAAACAGAACTGATACTTGTTTAAAATAACAGTATGCTGCATCCTAGTTTTCTATCTACCATTCTTAAAATTTAAAGAACTCCAACCATGTCACTTTTATTCTGCACTGGGTTTGGAAGGTCAATATTAAGCAGTTTATATTTATACAGTACCAGCTATTTTTACTGACATGTATTGATGTCATGCAGATATAAATCTGGCTACTTGCTTATTCAGTGTTTACCAACTAGGAAGTCTTCCCATACCAAGAAAGCTATCTTCAAGACTTCAATCCACAATCTCGTATTATGACAACAGCTAATTCTTTGTTATTAGATCTTTTACATTTTACTCATTATTTGGCCCATGGATAGGAAAGTAGTTGCTGTAATAACAAAAATGTGATTGTATAGCTTATCGGGTAAGTTTGTGAAATTACACAATAAACAATCCAAACTTAAACCAATATCACTCAGGCAGAAAATAGCATCCAGGCATGTTCAAGTCCTACCAGCCTGCCTTATTTGATACATTAAAAAACAGATGACAGATACAGATACATTAAAAAAGCAGTTTAGGGCTAGATAATCTGGTATCTCCAAGTCTTACTGTTTTCAACTTCCACAATACTCTGCTATAGCAAGACTAATTGGGTGTACGAGTTGTCTACAATATGTGGAGGGGAAAAAAACAGGTTGCATAATCGTATTAACTAAATTAGTATTCCTAGTTCACCTCAGTATTGGAAATACACTAAACATAACAATTATAAAAATTCTCTAAAATTATGTAATTATCCTAGGCAAATCTAAAATTATTTGTTCTACATAGATCTATCCAAACTTTAACAGGATGAAAGCTTTTGTTTTCTGTGTACAATTGTAAGGAATCATTTAAATACTCCTTTGTATCAATATAATATGAGCTACAAGCTTGCATATTATGCTCCTTTTCTTATTGGAGTGAATAATTTAGCCCACAGTAGAAATACCAAATCTTAACTCCATTCTTACATTAACCCAGCGGTGAAATTCATTTTTTTTTACTACTGGTTCTGCGGGCATGGCTTGGTGGGCATGGCAGGGGATGGACATTGCAAAATCTCCATTCCCACCCAACTCTGGGGCCAGCCAGAGGTGGTAATTGCTGGTTCTCCGAACTACTGAAACTTTCCACTACTGGTTCTCCAGAACCTGTCAGAACCTGCTGAATTTCACCCCTGCATTAACCCCCTTATTCTTGGGATATGTTTTCTAGCTTCCAGCATTTTGGACATCCAATACAGTGGGCTGAATACAGGAAGTCTTTAACATAAGGGAGCCTGCCCATTATGGTAATAAATTATAAAGTAGATCATCTTGGGATGAATTTGATTTTATGATCTTTTTTTGTAGCAGTTAAGTGGATGTGGCAGTTGTTAAATGAACCCATTGTTCGTTATGGGACTTTTTTGCCCCAAACTGGAATTTTGGTAAAAATGTCATAAATGGCAATCATGTGACCTTGGGATGTTGCAAACAGCTGTGATACAAGTCAGTTGCCAAGAACTTGAGATGTGTGACTGTAGCGGGAGAGACCAGCCATCAGAATTGAGGAACCAGGTCACAAGTACCATTTGGGGGTCAGTTGCAACTTTGAACAGTTGCTAAGCAACTGTTGGTAAATTGAGGACTACCTTTATATCACTGGTTGACAAACCAAAAGAAAATACAATTATTATCTTCATCATACCGTTTCCCACTCCAGACTAAATACATGGAAAACATGAGATTTGTAATCCCAGAAAAGAGTGTGTCATGTTTTGGCATTATGGATACTGACTAGTACAACACAAAACGTGCAAATACACCACTGCTAATTTAACGATCAAGTTTGGTTCCAATGACCAAGTTGTTAAACTAAATGGCTGCTAAGTGAATACATGGCTAAAAGTTACTGTAAAATCACTGGCTGCTGCAATATAATTCAGATAAAAGGCCTATCCTATGTCAGCATGACTCTCACTCTGTGATGCCTTGTTATCAGACACACAATATTTAATTGTATATGCACACTGGAAAAACTGAGTCCAGTAAATATTCCACAGCTTTGTTCTTGTGAATGATAATGCCTTCAGCCTCTCTCCCACCACAAAAACTATGCTATATATGTAATTAATAAATATTTCATACCAAGATCTAAGAGTATGCTTTTAAACATTTCTCTCAAAGTTTCTGGGTTAAAATTGACAGTGACATATATCATCTTACCAGGCAGTAGGGGATCTTCAATGCATAACATGGATGGTCGATATCCATTAGTCATAGTTTTCATGATTTCTTCTTTGGCAATATAGGCACCCCCATTTTTTATTCTAATGCCAGTTTTTAAGTAATTAAAATTCCTTCCATAGAGTTCAAAAAATTCTATTAGAAGCATTCCTAGATTTTCATCAAATCTTCGAGCATCAATTCTTGGGTGCAACTATTAAAAATAAAAACCACAGGATTTTATTTTATTTCATAGCAAGTTATATTTAAACAGCGAAGGACTGACCCGCGGTGCCTCTGCCAGCAAAAATGAAGTTCGGGAGGACTCCTCGAGCTCCATTTCCACTGGCAGAGGTTGCAGGAGATTGTAGCAGCCGAAAATGGAGCTCAGGAGCCTGTTTTCTCAGGCAGAGTGCTCAGGCCACCATAGGCGCCCCCCAACATGAGTGATGTCATGCTGGCCATGTCCAGCCTGGACACACCCACCCCAATCCTCCAAGGTCAAACACAATCCTGATGCAGCCCTCAATAAAATCAAGTTTGACACCCCTGGGATAGATAGTATGCTATGTCTGGTATTATCAAAGATCTGAAACCTCTAGTCCATTACAGATTTTTCACAATTTATATAAATACTAGAATTGATGAAAACAAAAAGGAGTATTACCATTATAACACCAAAATAGGTACAATATTTACCCAACAAGAAAGTAATTATCTAAAAATTATGGATATAACCCATTATATTCATTATAACAGAAAATACTACTGAAAAGAAGGAATTAGTATGAAATACAAATGGCTCCAGAAGAAGTAGTAATCTCATCAATACATTCTAGACCAATAAGGCTCAATCCTGGTGCCCACCTAAAGAAATGTATTCCATCCATTAAGACCTGTTACATAATGTATTTACTTTATATATTTTGATGGGTTTTCATATATGTAATATTTTATGTGTTTTCATTAAACTACCCTACCATGATACTATTGCCAGAGCTGCTAAGTGTTTATGGCAGCAATTTTTAAGTCATCTTGTATGGGAGATGGGCAGCATAAAAATGTAATAAATAAATCTGAAACTCTCAGACAAACCAAATACAGTTTTGGGGCCCTAAAAACTGTCCATTTGTGCTGCAAATGAAAGGCAGAATTATTTCCAAACTTCTTAAAATACAGTGGATTCCCTAAAGAACATACCACAATCCACCAAATAATTATAGATAGCCCAATTTAATGAATTAGGTTCATTTACCTGTACAAAACATATCATTTATATAACAATAATATAACAAGCATTTAAGTGAAAAATTGGGCAATTTCTGATACTTATGAAAAAGGACATACCTGTAAGAAGCTAATTGCCATTAAAATTAAGCTGTAGGAGCTAATTCCACCAGTAAAAACCTCATTCAAATCCCTCTGAAGAAGGAATTGCTTTAATACTAAAATCAAGTAAGGCAGCAATGAGTATTTCTGCAAATGAAAAAAACAGTCAGTTTTAAAAGGAAACATTTTTGCTTATGAATGAATACAAAGCCTCTCACACCAAAATAATATCCCATATACAACAACAGGTAGGAAAATGAAGTAGCAAATGTTTATTATCTACATGTTTATTCCTTATAAAAATAGGCAACAGTTTTACTCATTAAAATTTAATAAATAATAGGAAAAAGACAAGGTAATTGCTACAAACATGACACGTAAACTATATGGTACATAAAAAAAATGAATAAGCACAAGATAATAATTAAAGGAACCCTGTTCTTAACATGCTCTTAATCTTTATCAGATTACTTTACTAATTACTTAATGGCAAACAAACACTCATGCATGTACACTCTGTGTAGACACAGAAAATTTAATTCTGCAATACTAGCATTGCAATATCCCAGTCACATGATCACCATTCACCTGCTATACAACTGGTTTGCGACAAGCAGAGGCAATAAAGGCAGAATTTGTTTAACAACTATGGTGATTTATTTAATGATCGAAGGGGAAGTAAATCTGTAAATCCTTCACAGTTACATGATTTTCCATTTAAGAGACTCTAATGTTTAACAACAGAGTTCCCAGTTCCAGGTTATGATCACTAGGCAAAGAGTACTTGTATTCACTTCAAATAGCAGGGGCAAAAAAATTGAGTTACAACATCTAATAAATATATTGACAACACAGGAACTTGCATGCAGACCTAGATTCTTTGTTACAGCAAAATATCCTGTTAAGTGTAAAACACATCTTTCCATTTATATCATTAGTCTCTAATCTATCACTAGGCTTGCTCACTAAGAGACCAAGGCTAAAGTCACAAGAATTTGTCTGGATTCTAGAAGATTAGAAATAAGAAGAAAGTTTTGTCTGAAGCTCAGTTTAATTCTGGTGACCTCCTTTCAACAATTACCAATCTACCACCCTAGAAAATATCTGAATTTGCTTTCCAATTTGGTTTGTTTCTCATGAATAAGGGACCAGAGCATGAGCATCCAGTGGATCAACAAGAAGCACAAGCTCTTGTAGGCACAATTTCAGAGATTTTTTACAAACAATCCAAAGAGAATTTTACCATGAATTCTGTTACTTTTCTCTTTATGTTGACACTTTACCAAAGATGTATGGATCTTTAGTAGAAAAAGTCTACTTTTTGGAGGACTGATTATGTGTATTAGTTTGGCAGCTTGGAATTGGAGGCAATGGGCCTGATAGAAAGCAAAACATGCACAATACTTATCATAGAATTTTTCAAGGTTCTATATATATTTTGGTGCTACAGATTTAGGTTTTAAAATGTGGATCCTAAGACTTCAGCCAAAGGAAATTTTAAAATACCCATAATGTCTAAATGAAAAGACTAAAATGTTTGATTGAACTGCTGCATTTTATATCTGATCTAAACATTTTTCTTTTAAATATATAGCTAAAAATTCTTGAAAGATTATGAGCAGATGTGGGGAAGTATTTCAGAGAGTTTTTGAATATATTTTCTAAGAAGACCAAAAAGTATATAATCCATCAATATCTGTTGTCTGATATTCCAGATGACATTTAACATAAACCCACAATCTGTTAACTTTGCTTTTTTTCAAATTTCAGTTCTAAAGCCAGTAGATCTATCAAGATATATCATTTTTTGTCCTGCTTACTTTACCTTCATGTAGTCTTTGATAAGACGAGCTGCCTTCACACCAGTTTCTACATTAAAACTAATATCAACTTTCACCTCTGTAGCCTGGTCTGTAAGTTTAATTATTGGTACCTGCAAAAATAGTAAAATCAACCATTCATATGACATTTGCAGTGAGTGATGAGCATTTCAAACCATTCAAAATATCCAGTTCTAGACAGCACATTTAACATTTGTTAACACACAGCTAATATAAATCTATTTCAACCTTTTAAATCAGTACTTAAGTATAAGATGGGCATTTGGGGAATGATTGTTCTTTTTATGTTTTATAATGCTATAAAACTCTTTTTATAAAATGTCATTTATTGTTGCTGCTTTTTATTATTAAGTTTATGTATTATAAATTTTGTATCATGAATGTATTGTTATTTTGCATGTTGTGTTTCAACTACCATAAGTCTGGAAGATGTTGATGGTATGCAAATTCAATAAATACTCAATGTGTTAGTATTCCTTCATTTTCTCATATTTGTGTTGTAGATGTCAAGAGATCTTCTTGCCAATTTAAATGTCTAATATGGCAGATCCCACTATACTGTACAACCTCCATTACTTAACAACATTTCTTCAATATGGAAGAGCCATTGGTGCTTTAAAAGAGCAAAAGTCATAGACGCTTTTGTGCAATATTTAAAATAATTAATTTCTATTTTGCAATGCAGATTACATCATGAAACTCATCTTGGCAGAGGTGATGAGGTCATTATTACAAAGCATTACAAGTTCTTAATATTTAAACTATATCAGTTATTTACTATATGGCCAAGAAGCAGCTATGTTTCTGCTACTATCTACACCACTTTCTAGAAAAACCCCTTCCACAATCATTTACTTGAACTATTCTCTAATATGCTTGGGCATACCTTCAGAGTGTTAGAAAACAGTTTATTTCAATTTAGTTCTAATATACTAATCAAATCTAATTTTGCAGAGCATGTGATTCAATTGCAGTTTTATTTGCACAGATTTCTAGTCCATTTCTGAACCCAAAATGTTATTGTTTCTTTAAAAGCCAAAGAATTTAGAACTGAATAATTTTAAGAACAGTCTCTTTGTGCACAATCCTATTGTTATTCATTTCCTGATAGAACAATCTAATTCAGCATCCTATTGCCACTGACTATGTAATAGGTAAGAAGATGAGGAAGAACTGGTCTTCTGTGGCCGCCAGGGTTCGTGCTCTCTTGGATTATTTTCTTCCAGTAAATGCAAAGTGCATTCAGCTGTTTATTCTTTAACTTTGATGCAAATGTTAGATTATTAACTCTCCACTGAATTGATTACTAACCCATCTTGAATACTATGTTCTGAATTAGAAAGTTGGGATATAGTTGGATGAGTTGCAAAATATATTTTGATTCTAATACAGGGAGAGAAAGAGGAGACAAATACACTATCACATTCCCATACTGAAATTCCCATTTTTCTTTAACATTTTTTGGTCTTTGTCTCCAGTGTACTAACAGGAGCAGAGAACCACCTGCTTACAACAGCATATCTAAAAGGTTTCTTAAAATAAAACCAGAGATTTGGTATCTTAGGCATGGAATGTTCACGGATCTATTCACATCAATGGCAAACATTTCCAAGTGCATTTAAGTTTAGGTTGTTAAACTCTATCTCATTTACAGCAATGTGCTAGTCTAAAAACAGCATGTGTATCTGTTTACTTAGAATTCAAATGGCATACTGAGGCTCTGAACATTACTAATAATATTGGAAATGTAAAGCAAAGGGGAAATGTCACTTTACTTGAGAAGAAAATGACACAGCAATAAAGGAAGAATTGAAGCATATAATATTTTAAAAAAGAAGCAGATACAAACTAGATATTTTAATAAAGTTTCTACCTACGCAAAAGAAGTTATGACTCACAAGCTAAAGACAGCTTAGTTTAACATATGCCAAGATAAATTTTCAAATGTCAGGACCAGCAAAGCTGGTCACATCATCTTTCAGTGATGTTACTAGGACTTTAATTCAGGATTAGTGTGAAATGTATTTCAAACTGAAGATTTATCAGAACATATACATGATTGTTCAGTAAGTATTAAGAATCTCATAATGCAATCTTTATTGATTTAAATAAAATTATTAGATTGATTTAAGTAATCAATATATGAACAAAAATAGAACTTTCTAGGCATTCTTTGTCATGCAAGATGTTGAAATGGTTTGAAAACAAATAATATGAGTTAATTTAGAGCTAATGCCAACAAATAAGAAAGGCAGGAAAACTGACAGGAATTGGAAAGAACATTTTCACATATGATACTTGTTACTAACTTGCAGTTGGGGAAACTCACAAAAACATGATATAAATAAGCAAGCAATGAAACCCAAAGTACAGGTAGTCCTAAACATACAATCATAAGGGAGCTTGCCTGTTACTATCATAAGTTATGACAGTCATTAAGCAAGATGCACTCATGATTGTCTGACTTAATGACTACAATTCCTGCTCTCCCTGTTTCAGTTGTTAATCAAACATGCAGGTTATTAAGTAGAACATGAGATGCCTCAGGGGATGGAGGAGGCCTTGGGACTCCTGGCGCAGTCTCATACTATAGCACTTGGACATAAATTGAGGGCTACCTGTAAAATATAAACATCTCCGACAATGTAACTTTCCCTCAATAAGGAAATGTTCAGGATAACTTGTTTTCAATTACTTACTGTAGCTTTGTCAAGTACTTTAATCGAATGTGGCTCAGCCACATTGTGTTTCCTTAGGGCTTGTTCTAGCTGCTGGAGAGGTGGGCTGTCCCATTTTCCAAAAACCACTAAATCAATATCACTGTAGATATAAAAACATAGCTAAAGTTATTAGAAACTTGGATATTATACAACAATTATTTGAAGAATAGGCAACTAACACAATTTGAAAGAGAGTTTGAAACATACATACAAAATAAATATATCTCTGAATTGTCAAAGCATACATGTTTTTTGTAAAGCTTCCAAGCTGCTTCAAAACTGTTTTAACTATATCTGCAGGCTGATCAACAATTCAAATGCTTTAACAATTGGAAGATAGATCTTTATTCACATGCATGTTGCAAAATACCTCTAATTGTTTGTACAGTCCATATACACTACCGTGTCAATTTAATGTAATGATATTTAAATAGGAACTCTAGGGAAATATTTAATTTCCTTAGAGTCGGGAACAACCAACACGTATGTGTGAGGGGAACCTTTACCTTTACTTTAATGATAATATGTTAGTTATTCATTCCAAATTAAAATTTTAATAGTGTAATATATACAGCAGCATTTCTCTAGTCCCAAGACATATTGGACTACAATGTCATCATTTCCCAGTTAATTGGGTTATCAAAAATCCTACTCCAATATGTTTGGAAGGCACAAAGCTAGGGAAGGATAATAAAAAAGTTAAAATGCTACAAAGCCTCAGCCTAAAAAAACCTTCCATGACAACTAATACTGGTATTTCTAAAATAAATATTAAAACTTCAAGTTGATTGTTCATAGGTTTTTTTTTATCCTGAAAGTTGTAGTAGGATAATATTAATGTTCTATATGTTCACACGATTGTACAAAAGATGATAAATTAGAAATATTAGCATCGCTAGAGATACAGTACTCTAATGTTGTTGATGTAATTATTTTTCAGGTCTGCAGCTAAACCTGAAGAATCAATATGCAGTTAAAATTAAATAAGATCTCTTTTCAATTATGTCAATTTTAAAGAGACTAAAATACAATTTATGCACCTTACTGCATAAAAACCTAAGTTAATGAAAATGAAATCATTGTGTTATTCCTTCTCTTCCTGTTTTTTTTGTTTTTACTGTGCTCAATATCCCTTTTTTTCCTGTACTGATTTCTTGATAACCAGTGAGGCTGGAGTGGTAATGTAAGTCTTTATATGGTGCCATGTAAATTTTTTGTTACTATTACATAATATTAGAGCCAACAGTACAAGTGAAAAATTTCCGGACTCACCTTGTTGGCAGATAAAGTCCTGTACTAAAACTTCCAAATATCTGAACCTGGAAAAGAAAAACATCTATATTGAATTTAATTGCTTAAAATTTCTAAAATTAAAATATGTGTGTGGTCAAAGTTAAAATGGTGTACAGAGGATCAACTTGAGGTAAGCTTACATCAGCTGTAGGCCAAAGTTCTTTGATGACAGTTTCTATTCTTTTCACAACTTCTCGTCTCATAACTGCTTCTTCAGGACATGGGGACATAAAGTCATAAAAGTCAATTATTTCTTCATGGAGCCTATGGGAAGAATTAAAAAAAATCAGTGGAACAGAAAGAGAACCAAATGAATTAATCTACTGGTGACTGGGGATGCTGATCTGGATTTGCAAGTAGAATATTTCAATTTCAGTTGCATTCTAGGACTCCATCTCCAAATATATGTTTTTCTAGAAGTTGAACAATAAAAAGTTTATAAAGAATCAGATCTGATTTTGTAGTAGACATGTTAAATCAAAATCAAGTCTAAGGTTTCCATACTTTGCCTCACACAAGCCATACTTCTCTTCATTCACCTCTAGCATATTTGAGATCACTTCACATATGTATGCAGATGACAGAAAATTATCTGTCCATGTTAATCATCCATCAATCTCTATCATCATAGTTATTGTTGTTGTTGTTATTATTATATTATTATTATTATTGTTAAATAATTATTTTTTCAGGAGCATAACGCAGTGAACATACTGTCTCTCCTATTGTTTTCATTATCATAACCATATGTGATATAGGCTGAAAGAGAATGACTGGTATAAAGTCACCCAGTAAACTCCTATAGTCAAGGACAGAATAGCATCTGTGTCTAGCTAATGTTATACAGTAAAGAGAATACTTTCATATTCCTTATATTTCTTGATAAACACACACATAAATTAAGCTATATAAAAAGTAAATTTATGCATGGGACCTGCAAAATGTTAAAAGTGTACAAGAGTAGCTAGACTTATTAGAAAGTACATTTCTGATCACAAGAAAATGGACCCAACACACCCAAAATTAATTCTATCTCATACAACTAGGAGATGGAGACTTCTTTCTGTTCCATGGAAGAAATCCCATGAATTTCTTCAGTTAAATGTACTGACTTCAAATGAGTAGTTTAATTCTTCCTTTATCATGAAAAGCAACAAGGATGATTAGGGGGTGGAGGCTAAAAATTATGAAGAACACTTGCAGGAATTCAGCATGTCTAGTAAAAAGAAGGACTACGGGAGACATGATAGTAGTGTTCCAATATCTGAGGGGCTACCACAAAGCACTATAAGGCAAGACAAGAAACAATGGATGGAGGAAAGCAATCTAGAACTAAGGAGAAATTTCCTAATGGTGAGAACAATTAACCAGTGGAATGCCTTGCCTTTAGAAGTTGGGAGTGCCTCATCATTGAAGGCTTTTAAGAAGAGACTGGACAGGCACTTGTCTAAAATGGTATAGGGTCTCCTGCTTGAGCAGGGGGTTGGACTCAGTTACGTGCAGTCAGGGGAGGCAGGGCCTCACCACTGTCATCATGAAAAGAAAAGGAAATGTAAAAGGAAAAAGGCTGAGCTAGTTGCTGCCAGTCATCATGGATGACTCTGCTTAGTGCTTAACTGTTTGAAAAAGCCTCTTAAAAAGCGCCCTCTACAGGAGGAGGCAGGAGAACAACGTGCCTCATCTAGTCTGATTTTAGGCATTTTATGATCACTCAAGTAGAGTTAAGCAAGGGTTAAAAGCTGAAAAATTCCTGACGTAGCTGGTTGTGGAATTCTGGAAGTTGAAGTCTACAAGTCTAAAAAAATTTGTGTCAGTGCCTCACCAGCCATAAACCTCACCGCACGTCACTGGTTGGACTAGAAGACCTCTAAGAACCCTTCCAACTCTGTATTTCTATGTTCTACCTATTCTACTTGTAAATGATAAAATACATGGGAACAACATAAAACAATGAGCATAATACATTCACTCATATATTGCTGCTTGGATAATCTCCTGGCATATAAATATAATAAATGAAATGAAATGAAATGAAATATTTCCCCTCCTAAATAGCTGCATCTTTCAGTGAACAGTAAGGTACTTCACAGTAAGTTTAACTATTGTCCTTGTTCATCAAAAATTGAAGAAACAGAAAAAGGGATATATTTAAAACAATAGTATTTTCAAGGTGAAATACATAATTGCTCTTTGGGAAGCTGTGGCACAGGAAGGGAGCAGTACCTTGTTAGCTGTAAAGACCAGTACAGGATATTTTCTCACCTACTCTGTTAATTGTGGAAAGTTTAATTACTACTGATATCCTGTTTGCAAGAGAGATGTCAGTCTTTCATGTCCCCAAAGTACATTGCTTGTCAGATCCTCAGAGCCTAAGCTCATCCCCCTTGAACCAAAAAGCTGGAAAGCATAATTTCTTGTGTTCAATGAAATAAGGAAATTCATTTGTGGTATGAAGCAGGGATAAAGACCAGAAAACTTGTCCTCATGGAACCTCCCACCAGCTGAAAGCATTCCATCTCTTACCACTCCAAGGATACTAAAGAACAGATTTAACAAAGTTGGTGGGATTTTGTCTAATGGGTTTGAGGGGAATATTAAGAACTTGAGTAATGTACTAATGATGAGTACAGTGTAGTACATGGTAGATCACCAAGGATGACTGAGGATGAGACACATTCATGCCTAAGCAATTCACATGAAGGTTGTCTGAGGAAGGTGCTCTTTGTTGGTACCAGACAACTAGATCTAAAGCATCTGCAGCCTGATTGTTGCTAGCCTTTCCTTCAACTCTCTCCTTAGAAACTGCAATAATTCAGGGATCTCTATTATCAGTACCAAAGATTTGACTTTTGCATCACCATTCAAACATGTACCAAACCATCTAAAAGAATATGGCCTTTCGTTGGTTTCCATTGTTGAACGTGAAGGTTTCGGGCTTGCTTTGTTAATTTTTAGCATAGCTGTTGTTAGTTTTGAGTCTCACTGCAACATAGGATGTCTGAACATTTCAGGAATTACTCCTGTTTACTGCTGTTTAAAAGGGAAAAAAAACATGATCTCCTGATCTAGAAAGATTTGAATAGAATTTCCTAGTCCCCAAACAGCTTAATTTGAATGGCACTTTGAGAAGTGCTGCATAAGGCATGAGTTGTCCTGTCAACCATGGTACCACTAGGGTAGATCTGTTGTCTTGGAATTGAGAAAAGAAGCATTTCACATGCCTATTGTGTACTGTCATGAACACGTCAATATATCTCCATATTCTTGGAAAATTCTTCAGATATCAGACACATTTTCCTCCGCTCTTGTTTGTTGATGATCATTGTTGACTCATAATGGGATCATTATCCACTATGAGTCTTGGCCTACCTTGGAAGTTTGCCGTCGTCCCAATCACTTAAGATTGGCATATTTGGTCATCTGGTTCCTGATCAGTTCCAAGTGGCATTCCTACTGCCAAATTGCCTGGGACTATTCTAGCCTACCAATGCAGGGATTGGATTACCTTGCTTGGCAATGTTATATGCAACTGAGTTCAGATGGTAATCTGATTCTGAAATGAGAGAGGGAATCACTACAGTGATCTTGCTCTGTAACCTTGCCAGCTTCAGATGTGCGAACATTCTGCATGCTAGCCTTTCTTTCCTGGCTTCAAAAAGCATTCAACATATAAAGATGGTCCTCTGTGTTCTTAAATGCTACATAAGAACTGCCACTGCTTTAAGGAATATATTGGGAGGGAGGGCGGTTGTGCCAGCTTGAAAATGAGCACCTGTAATCTTCAAACTTACAACCATTCATTTAATGACCACTCAAATTTACAACAGCACTGAAAAAAGTGACTTACGATCATTCTCACACTTATGATTGTCATAGCATTCCCAGTCATGTGATCAAACCTTGGGCACCAGCATATATTTATGATAGCTACAGCATGGATTTGATTTAAATCAAGTCAATTTAAATCATAATTTTAAAGAGCAACTGTCATCTCTGCCCTGCAGCAGCTCCTCCTCTAACCCACTGTTGACTCACCGACAGTCTCATTCACATAATGGGATGGCTGGTGATGCGGCAGTGACACAACAAGGTGAGGGGTGTGGCAGGCAGCAGGTGAGTGACTGCCCGCTAACAGGCACTGCTGGCTGGATCTGAAATGAAAGGTGTTCTCTAAATGTAAGGACTCATTCTTTTAGGCAGTTAGAATCTTTAATTGCAAACAAAATGAAGGTTTCGGATTTAGCTTGCAGAACTTGGATTCACTGAATGAGTTTACCAAAAATGTAAATATTGCAAAATATACAGCCTCATGCTATATAACTAAGCTCCATTTCATGCTGAATAAACTAAATTAGTAACGTATCTTAGATAGAAAACTATCTTTAAATAGATTTTTCTCCAAAAACATTTCATTCAAATAAATTTGATAAAAATCCAATTTAAATAAAAAATCCGATTTAAATCAAAAAGTCAGATTTTTTAATTATTTTTAAACAATCATCAATTTTTATCCACCCTGGTCAGAGTGATATGATTGTCATTTGACACCTTCCCAGATGGGGAAAGTCTGACAAGCAAAAGTCAATGGTAGAAGCCAGATTTGCTTAACAATTGCACGGTTCACTCAACAAATGCATACATTTGTTTAATAACCATGGCAAAAAAGGCTGTAAAATTAGGAGTGACTCACTTAACTGCTTTGCTTCACAATAAAAATTCTGGACTCAATTGGGGTCATAAGTTGAGAAATATCTGTATTCTGAACTGAATGAAACAGAGCGCTCTTGTATGAAACCTATGAAACCACTAGTGGGTGATTCTGATTGAGACTTTTATATAACAAACCTACTGATCTAGGAAGTAGGATTGCCTCCACTTTTGATTTCAGTACTTTCATCCTTAAGTTTCAATGCCTAATAATATTATTCTAAGACCCAAAGTTAAGGATAATCTTTCCAATATCTATTGTTCTTCACATTGTGTGTGTGGGGGGGGGGGAAACATGATGAAGACATCTGAGATATGCAATTTGTTATGAGATGTTCTTGGAGACTTTTATTTTTCACACTTAACTGTCCATCTTTCTCAGATCCCTCACCTTTAGCTTTGATATGTGTGATATTCATTTGTATGAACTCTACTGCATATTCTGCCTGGGTACCAGCACTCATATGGTCTGACAGCAGGCCAGAATTTCTGCAGTTAAGTGATCCCTTAGGAGTAATAATATCATCTTGAAGAGTATTTTCCTTGGTCTTTGCCAT